AAACTGCAAATAAAAATTTACAAGCTGATTTAAGAAATTGTATAACCCCAGACCAGTTAAACCACATTTTCTTCTTCTTCTTCTATTGTCGGAGGGTTCAGGACTTGCCGTGGTTAGTTATTGACAAACATGTTGATAAAACAAGAATATCAGTCTCGTTTAAAGTAATCATTTCGTAGGTTCTGTGGTCGATACAATGACCTTGTCAGCAAATACTTTAACCATGGCTGTAAAGTTTGAACGGTTGGTGCTAGGATTTTCATTCTTCACGTGTATTCATTGTGACAAGACCTTTCAACTGTTTAAAGTGTATAAATGTTTTGACCTTTTGCCTTTGACCTTGTAACAAAATCTTCCTTTGGATGCAAACAATTTTGACCTTCTGATCTTGGTCTTGGATTTTGACTTGCATTTGAGGCACTTTAACCCTCGCTATAAACAGTTAAAGAGGTGCATTCCTTGTGAAAAGGCCTTTTTGGGTACCACCAAATTTGACCTCTTGACCTTTGACCCACTTTAACAAAAAATTGCCAAACTTAAACCTTAGCCATATTTTATGAATAGTTAGTGAGAGGGCTTTCACACTATTATTAATACATGTGCATTCCTTGCAGAGACCTTTCTTTGGGTACCACCAAATTTGACCTTGACGAGGTTGACCCACTTGAAAATAAAAACAAGAGGCCCTTGAACCTTATAGGTCACCTGAGCATCATGCAAGGACTTTCCAAAGATTGAATTTGGTTCATGTTTTAAACTTAATGTCATGACATTTACAATATAATCAATGGAGCCCCGCCTTAAAACCAGAAACTGATCCTGTGGTCATAAAATTCACAATTTTGAAAGTGGCATTCTTGCTCATCTTAACTATGTACTTATATAACTATGTACAATACCCAGGAGCAGAGAAGATTTTCAAAGACTGGGGGTCATGATTTGAACAATGTAGAATCTACACTATTCAAGGATGCTTCCACATAAGTTTCAGCTTTTCTGGCCCATTAGTTTTCGAGAAGATTTTTTAAAGATTTTTCCTATATTTTTAGGTCACCTGAGTAAACTCAGGTGACCTATTGCTATCTGTTTTCGTCCGTCGTCATCCGTCGTGCGTCGTTCGTCGTGCGTTAACATTTGAACATTCTTAGCTTCTTCTCTGAAACCACTGAACCAATTTCAACCAAATTTGGCATATAGTATCTGTGGGTAAAGGGGAACAAAAATTATGAATTTCATGGTCCCTGTCCCCCTGGGGCCTGGGGGATGGGGAAAAAACAACTAAAATTAGTGCAATCTTTAAAAATCTTCCACTTTACTCCTGGACATCAAGCAGTCAAACTGTTGGTATGATTGTAATCAGCATTGAGTCCTCTACCAAAATTGTGAAATTCATGGCCCCAGGGTCAGAGGTTCTAGTGCTAGGGCGGGACTAAACAGGTTATATAGTGAAAATGCATTATTTCATTGAAATTCTTCTTTTCTGCTCCTGGGCATTAAATAAACTAACCAAGTGCATAGGTACGTTGAAAATGACCGCCTTTCCCAAAATTGTGAATTTCATGGCCCCAGGGTCAGGGGTTCTAGTGCTAGGGCGGGGCTATATAGATTATATAGTGAAATGCACAAATTCTTTGAAATTCTTCTTTTCTGTTTGTGGGCATTAAATAAACTAACCAAGTGCATAGTTATGTTGAATAAGACTGCCTCTTCTCAAATTATGAATTGAATGGCCCCAGGATCAGGGGTTCTAGTGGTAGGGTGGGGCTATATAGATTATATAGTGAAAATGCAAAAATTCTTTGAAATTCTTCTTCTCTGCGCATGGGCATTAAATAAACTAACCAAGTGCATAACTATGTTGAATAAGGCTGCCTCTTCCAAAATTGTGAATTTCATGTCCCCAGGGTCAGGGGTTCTAGTGCTAGGGCGGGGCTATATAGATTATATAGTAAAAAATGAATTATTTCTTTGAAAAATTTCTTCTTTGCTCCTGAGTATTAAATAAACTAACCAAGTACATAGTTATGTTAAATAAGGCTACCTCTTCCAAAATTGTGAATTTCATGGCCCCTGGGTTGGGGGTTCTGGTGTTAGGGCGGGGCTTTATTGATTATATAGTGAAAATGCATAAATTCTCTAAAACTCTTCTTTTCTGCACCTGAGTATTTAACCAATGAGCTATGAACATAGTTATGAGGAGGAAGGATGCCTCTTTGAGATTTTTGAATTTCAGGGTCCCTCGGTTAGGGCTTCTTGTGTTAGGGTGGGGCTCTAATGTTTATATAGTGAAGATGCATGAATCCTTTGAAAATCTTTTCCTTTTTTGTTGGGTATAATGCCAAATGCTTTTAGTATATATTTGTGACAAAAAAAACTTGCTTCTTCCAAAAATGGTTAATATCCTGGCCCCTGGGACAGATGTACTTTGAGGGGGGGGGGGGGGGTAACATAGTCTGAAATAATTTAATGCTTTGAAATCTGCACTTTGGTATTAATTAACAGCATGATGAAATAAATTTTTTTAAAACTTCCAAAATTTCAAAAGATATGGCCCCAGGGTCAGTGGTTCCTGTGGGATGGGGAGCTCGACTGTGGACCCGCCCTAACACAAGAAGCCCTGACCCAGGGGCCCTGAAATTCACTAAAAGTGGAAATGCATTTTCTTTTTGTTACTCTGATCTACCTCTGGGTAATAAACATGCTGAGTGTATACATGTAATTATGATAAGCAATGGTGTCCCTTTCAAAATTGTGAATTTCATGGCCTCTAGTTCAAAACATGAATCAAATTCAATTGTAGGAAAGTTGTGGCATGATACTCAGGTGACTATAAGGCCCATGGGCCTCTTGTTTTATGTAAAACTTTGATTCCCTATTCAGTATTGTGGCCCCGCCCAACCCCCAGGGGTCATGATTTGAACAATTTAGAATCTACACTACCCAAGGATGCTTCCACATAAGTTTCAGCTTTCTTGACCCAGTGGTTCTTGAGAAGAAGATTTTTAAAGAGTTTTCCTATATATTTCTTTTTAAAACATTGATTCCCTATTGTGGCCCCGCCCAACCCCCAGAGGTCATGATTTGAACAATTTAGAATCTACACTATTCAAGGATGCTTCCACATAAGTTTCAGCTTTTCTGGTCCAGTAGTTTTTGAGAAGAAGATTTTTAAAGAGTTTTCCTACATTTTTCTATGTAAAACTTTGATTCCCTATTGTGGCCCCGCCCAACCCCTGGGGGTCATGATTTGAAAATTTAGAATCTACACTATCCCAGGTTGCTTCCACATAAGTTTCAGCTTTTCTAGCCCAGTGGCTTTTGATAAGATTTTTTAATGACCCCACCCTATTTTTGTCTTTTCTTGATTATCTCCCCTTGGGAGAGGACTTGGCCCTTCATTTTAACAATTTAAATTCCCCTTAACCCAAGGATGCTTTGTACCAAGTTGATCAAAATTGGCTCAGTGGTTCTTGAGAAGAAGACGAAAATGTGAAAAGTTTACAGACGGACAGACAGCTAGACGGTCGGACAAAATATGATCAGAAAAGCTCACTTGAGCCTTCAGCTCAGGTGAGCTAATAAAGCCCCGCCCTAACACCAGAACCCTGGAGTTATAAAATTCAAAATTTTGGAAGAGGCATTCTTGCTCATCATAACTATGTACTTACTTAGTTAATTTATAGCTGCAGAACTGTAGCTCTCCGAAAAAATATATTATCTGTCAATATATTTTTTCGGAGAGCTAGTTCTGCAGCTAATAATCATTAGAACCCCACCGTAACATCAGAACCACTGACACTGGGGCCATAAATTTATAACTCTGGAAGAGACATGCTTGCTCATCATAACTATATGTACTTAGTCTTAGTGTATATAATACCCAGGAGCAGAGGTCTTAGTGTATATAATACCCAGGAGCAGAGAAGACGATTTTCAAAGAAATAAGGCATTTTCACAATATAATCTATAGAGCCCCGTCCCTGACCAGAACCCTGGGGCCATGAAATTCACAATTCTGGATGAGGCATTCTTGCTCATCAGGGGGACCAGGGACCATGAAATTCACAAATGTTCCCCTTTATCCATAGATGCTGTATACCAGATTTGGTTGAAATTGGTTCAGTGGTTCTAGAGAAGCTAAAAAAGTTCACAAGTTTACAACTGACGTACGGACGAAAACAGATAGCAAGAGGTCACCAGAGTGACTCAGGTGAATTAAAAAACTTGAACAATTAGTACTTGGGCTTTCATATTTCACAGGTTTATTTCTTATTACAAGACCTTCCTTTGGGTACCAACAATTTTGACCTTGATGTTTGAAGTGCATTTGAGATATTTCAACCTCACCATAAGCTGCAGTGTTTCAAAACAATTTTATTGTATTTATATGAATCAAACAAGTTTTAGAATTTTTGTGCTTTTTAAGGCACATTTTGTACTTTTTACCTTCAAACTTCTAAATGTTTCCAAGGCATGTTCATAACAAAAACCTGATTTATTAGCAAGTGGTTACGCATGTTTAGATTACACCTTTTTGCAAATAAGGGTTTCTCTATACCCTTACTGTGACTATAGTGTAAGTGAACATCTCTATGTAACTTGCATTCAAAATCCAAGAATTATATTTTTATTTTATATTTTATTCCATAACAAATGCCTTGTGATAAGTACTCTATCAATACCATGTAATACATACTTCTTTAATTTGGCAGTGTAAGTGTCAGTGATACACACATATCGAAACAGAATAAATAAAACAAAGTACACTTCAAAACATTCTTGTTACACTTTTGAACGGAAGACAATTTGATCTTAATATCAGTCATTGAACACAGCATTGGTGGAAACAAAAATAATTACGCTTCAAAAAATACAAAATCTACTGAACTTTAATAAGAATGTCTTCTATCATTAATATCAGTCACTGAACACAGCATTGGTGGGAATAAAAATAATTACGCTTCAAAAAATACAAAATCTACTGAACTTTAATAAGAATGCCTTCTATCATTAATATCAGTCACTGAACACAGCATTGGTGGGAATAAAAATAATTATGCTTCAATTATCAAAAAATACAAAATCTACTGAACTGTAATAAGAATGTCTTCTATCATTACACAGCCATTTCCATGGCTATTTTAGGGTGAGGATTATACCCTACAATCTCAAAGTCCTCGAACTTAAAATCATCAATGTCTTCTACCTGTCTCTTGATCACTAACTTGGGAAACGGTCTGGGTTTCCTCTGAAGCTGAACTTTTAAAGGCTCCAGGTGATTGACATACACATGGGCGTCGCCCAGGGTGTGGACAAAATCGCCAGGCTTAAGTCCTGTGATGTGGGCGATCATGTAGGTCAGTAAGGAGTAGCTGGCAATGTTAAACGGTACGCCCAGACCGATGTCGCCCGATCGCTGGTACAGCTGGCAGGAGAGCTCACCATCACACACGTAGAACTGGACGAAGGCGTGGCAGGGAGGGAGGGCCATTTTCTTTAGGTCACATGGGTTCCAAGCTGACATGATGATCCGCCTATCATCTGGGTTGTTCTTTATTTTGTCAATCACCTCTTTCAGTTGATCCACTCCTTGACCTAGAGAATAATTTGTTTGATTAAGAATTGACTTGTATATAAGACTATCATTTTAATTTTATAGCCACCCAATATAACATCAGCATTTTTTGCCCATTGGACAACTTCAAAATAAAGTTTAAGCTTTTAAATTTTACCTACAGTTTATTGCAAGCAAAATATCTTAAATTTGATTCTTTAAAGAGAGTCATTACTTATAAATGATATTTTTATTTAATGTCGAGTGAAAGCATTTAAATGAATAAATAATCCAGTTCTTTTTTAATTTGCGTGGCTCTACTAATAATAAATTGTACATTGCAAGTTAAAGACCATAGATATCAGTTCTAGTAAGCATACTGAAACAAACTTGTTGTGTAACCTTTTATGCATTGTATATGTCATGTTTCCTTACCAGTGTAGTCAGCGTGCATGTCTTTGTACTCCGCCCCGAAGTGTCGCCACTGGAAGCCGTAAACTGGACCCAGGTCCCCCTCCTCTCTGTGGGTCAGACCCAGATTGTCCAGAAACTCCCGCGAGCCGTTGGCGTCCCAGATGTGGATGCCTTTCTCGCTGAGTTTCTTGCCGTTTGTACAGCCCTCGACAAACCACAGCAGTTCCTCAGCCACGCCTCGCCAGAATACTCGCTTCGTTGTAAGCAGCGGGAAAGAATCTCGTAAATTGTATCTACAAAATATATTTTTTATTTGTAAGTATTTACATTTCCAATGTCTTTGTTCGAGATAAAATTACAAATAGTTAATGTACTTTATTTCTACATAAATGTACTGGTTCATCGATAGGTGCAGTTAAAAAAAATCACATGTTGGTCGGGACAAATAGACAGAAGTGGGGCTTGTAGCACGTGGATTGGTAGAATCGAGGTCATGTAAATATAAGGTATAAATGTCAGATTTTTTTAATTTCATTTTAATTTTATGCAAATTATCACTCAAGCCAATCGATTGATTACATCATGAAATAAAAAAAATTATACAGTTATTCCTTAAATGCATTTATTGGTACTAAATCCAATTAATTTATGTATAAATTAAGAAATAATTGTACATTTAAAATATAAAACATATCACCAACACTTCGTGAGAAGTTATTTTGTTTATAACAAATATTACGACATATATTACAATAGAATTTCATGCAAAAATATCATAAAATATTTTTTTTCATCTCATTGCCTGACGTCACGGCGTCAGGCTGTATAAGGATTGATAATTGCTTGATCCGAAACTAATAGATCATACCCAGAGAGCTAGATTTTATGCAAGCAGATTTACATTGGAAATCTTTTACCTGTATTTTAAAAGAAACATTTTTCAGGGAAACAATGATTTTACTGATGCAAAATAATGCAGTTTTCTCTGTTTGCATGAAACAGATTATTCCATGTGATTTACCGTTTCAACGTGTCCGTGTATCTTTTTTTCTGCATTTCTATACTTAGTCTACTGGATCAGTCCATTTATATTCTACGAAAGGGGTGAATCGCTCTTTTCGCGCCAAATGTCACAAGTAAGCGATCTTCGCGCCTTTTCTTGGAATGTTCTATTGTATGGAATTAAATAAAGTTTGTTGTTGTAACCTCCATCTTCTTATGATTCAGAAATTCTGTCTACAAATTTTATCTTATTCCTTTAAAACAACATATGAATCATAATTAAGTATCAGAATATGGACATGCAAAACAAAAGAAATGATTTCTCTAATTTGTTTCCCCTCCGTTGGTTTATTCCAAATTTTAATGGACTAGTCCAATCACCACAATCAGATTTCAGACGATTTGACGAAAGAAATTACCTTGCGAAATCTTGGATTTCTTTTCCACAAAGGCCTAAATATGTTGGTTTTACCTATTTCGTTCTCAAAAAATTATAGTACCCACCTTTCAGAAAAAAAAATCAATGAACACAAACTACTACTGCATGTTTACTTCATTGGAGAAAATACTTTCCTACAACATATGTATTTAGTTATATCCATTCTCTAAAATGTTAACAACGAATGATTTGACAACAGATTTCAGAATAGGTGTAGCTTTAAATTTAGATCCAGGGGTAGATCAATTTACTTGCAGAAAAATCAATCGCATCATCTAGGGTCTTTTCGTCAGAGGTCGAAAAACAAACTCGAATGTATCGACATCATCGGATGTTAAAAATTTCTACATTTCCTGTTCATAGTAAAAACGGAGTTAGAAGTCCCTTCTATAGTATATTTTAGATAATATCATTACATTGAATAAAGTTCACTCCATATTCCACAGATAAAAGGTCTATATACATCATCCATGCTTTTATTTCAAAGTTTGTGAAAAGGGGGGGGGGGGGGGGGTCATGGCGTATAAATTAACAATACATTTGTGGTCTTCTTCCCTAGATAAGGGACCGAGGAGCTTCGATTGGCAGAAAACCCACATACATTAACCATTCTGTTAACAACTCTTCAGAATGCAGCAAAGGCATCGTTCTTCTACAAGTTAAATACGTAATTAAATATTTTTACAAGGTTCTCAAATAAAAAGACATATTTCAAACAGAAAAAAGTATTGCTCAAAAGGTTTATCACTTCTCTTACAGATATTGATTGATTAAGTCAGGCAAGCTTTTTGAAAAGCTGTTACTTGTAGTTATTTAAACATCGAATTTCTGGACGGGTTTGATTGATACATCCTTGCACTTTCACAATTTTTTACAGTCTTCGAACTATGCACTTCCTCTCTTTTGTGATTGGTAGAAAATGCATGATGAGAAAATTTTCAATTATTTCATTGGTTGAAATGCTGTTCAAGACAAGGGAGATAACTTTCTAATGATCTAATTTTCGAACGACTTAACAATTTTGCAAGCTTTTCAATCTTTGAAAAAAATGACAAAACGAACAACAAAATCAGCAGTAATTAATTCCTAATAACATGATTTTTTGTATAGTAATAAATAAAAAGATCTCTTTAATTTCATTATAAATAAAATTTAATTTTTATTGCTTGCAGGCTTTGCGATTTGTTATTATTCTTTTCCCCTTTCTTGTTTGAAGAAGGAATCAGCCGAGGTTTGCCGAAAGCTCTCGGCCAGTCCAAGTTTACGGAGATGAACGAGCGACAACGTGTGATAGGGCTAATGCCAGTAAAAAGCTAATGTACAAATACAAAATCAAGAAATTCAAAATAATTAAACGGCCTGATAGGTGTAGATCAGTTTACTGTTTAAGATTGTTGCTAAAGACGGTAAGCTTTTTTAAAAAGCTCTACTTGTAGTATTATTCATTGCATATGAGGGGGTGGGGGTGATTTTTTTTTTTTTGTATGAAGCCTTTAAAATTAGATATTTTCTTAAAACATATCAGCAAAGACATTTAAAAAAATTATCTCAATATCAACAAAACAACAACCTCATTTGCATTCCGAAGATAGATAAAGTATCGATGCCAGTTCTGTTGCTTTTTCTATGCCCGTGGTCAATCACACGCTGCACGGCTTCTAAATATAGTTCCTCGTCGTGTCTTTTTTCTTTAAAATCCACATTTTTTATTCCATTAACTTGATCGCCGTGATCACTGCATGTTTCCACCTCCGTCATCTTTGTGTGTTTTTCCCTCCAATATTTTGCACTTTGGCGCCATATCAATCGGATTTCTTCGCCCTTTTCCGTCGAAAGTAACATACAAAACCTCTTTATCCGGATGAAGCCTTGAAAAGAGGAAAAACTTTGGATATCAGCCTCCTTGGATGTGTATTTTTTTTTATTTTGGTTGAATTATTATCTGTATGCTATTGACATAATGTTTTATATGTAATAGTATTCTATCAATAATTTACAGATTTACAGAATATATGCTTAACAATCCGGGATATTTAGCCGACCGATCTGCTTCTTAATTCTACCAATCAAACATCCGGTGAATTTTTTTGGAGCTAGAATGTTCAATGAAAAACCAAAGGGGGATTTGTTATAGGTAATTGCTTTTACAACTCTCAGTATATTTGGATTTTTGAAAAAAGTTAAGGATATATTTAGTTTGAATTCAGACTTTAGTTGAATGTTTAACTTTAAGAGAGTAAGTTAATAACACTTCTGAATTTCCTTTCTGTCAAACAAGAAATGAAGAATAAAAGAAATTTCAGAGTGTTTGTATGATAAGTATTTCAGAAAACAAGCAATGCAATCAAAGTCCATTTAAGTAAATGAAATCGGTAGAGACGCCATACCAAAATTTTTAGTCTCCACAAATCGCACTGAGATGAGTGCAGCGAGTAGTGCAAAGTGCCGCGGATAGAATGCACTTTACCGGTACGGCCGCCATTTTGATTCTAGATCCGCAAGTGAAAGTGCGCAGCGTAAAAACTTAGCAACGTATCAACTATGATGGGCGACACCATTTTGTTGTGTAAGAAACTCTTGAAGCGAGAAAAAAATATCTAAATGGGTTTCCGCTTTTTTGAGCGGGGGTGTGGGGGCGGCATCCCCCAATACGTAAAAAATGAATAAAACAAACTTACCTTAGTCATTAGATAAATCTGCGCTAAGACTCGGAGCCATACGTACGTGTCACTATACATATCGTACAACTATTGTGTCTTTTTTTTGCACTGAGTTGTAAATACGTTTTTATGGGTGATGAAGGAGATAAACGTCAATTTTTAATTATAGCTACTATCCTAGTGCATTCTTGTTTTAGTAGAGATTTCCTATATAACTGCATTCCATGTAGTCTCAATGATTGTAAAGTATCCAGTGTTTTGCAAATTGAAATCTCTAGATTTTTTAGTTCGTAAATCCAGGAGTATGTTAGATTAACGGCAGCTCTGTTTCCAGAAATCTAAGATGTGTCTTTTACGTTTCATTTTTCTTATACTGCCGATTGCTGTTTCTCGAAACAAGTCCGTCCTCACTGCATGTTTACAAGTTTTGCCCCTCCACTTATTCAACATTTCCAAAAACTAAGGATCACATTTATCGCTAAAATTTCCAAAAATTCTAGAATGCTGCAGTCAGTCAATTAAAAATATCCATTCATAGAAAACACAATACAAATCATCGTAAATAAGGTGCATATGTTGAATCACTGTTTACAATCATATAGAGTGGAAGTCAAACTTTCTATTTCACGTCACCTACCCTGACCAATCACAGCAGTGAAATAAGTCACGTGCTTAACAACGTCACAACTTTGGAATGCGGCCGACAGAATGAAAGTGAATGGTTTGTTTTGAAAGTGCTTTTAGTTTTAATTAATAACTTCGTTAATTAAACGAAGTTTATTAACATGAAAAATGACAAGGAATTCAAAAAATATGTTATTTTTGCATTTTATTGCCTTTTTAGCGAAATTGTCACGCTGACGCGTGACTCTCTTATAGAGAAAGAGCACGTGCTATTTCCATATTATTTGGGCGTACTGGTAAAGTGCAGTTGTCCCAAGTGCCGCTTGTGACTGCGAACTATTGAAACAACGGCGACGATAAAATTATGACTTTGCACGTTGATCCAAACCAATTTTTTTCCGCAGTTACCTGTGGTCCCATAATCCTTAGTGAAATGCATAATGCCATTCCGTACTAGGCTGTAGCAAACCATATTTTTGTGATGATATAAAAGAGACATGTACCAAGAAAAAACAAACTTGCATTAATTTAATAGATATTCAGTGAAGCCTCATTTATCTGGACGCTTTGGTTCCTAGTCAATTTGTCTGGATATCTGAAGCGTCTAGATATCTGAATTACCAGTTAATAGGACAAAATAACATTTAAAAATACAGTTCTGAAGAAAAACCGTCCTGATAGTGAAGCATCCGGATATCTGGCCTCCGGATATCTGAAGGTCTACTGTATAGAAAATAAATAGTTCGTTAAATGTCATTGAATAAAATTCCCACTGTTCAGACTTTTATTTGTTAATGCAACATACATAGATTGTCAAGTGACATCAGTCTATTAATGGTTTGACAAGCCTATTCTAAATTAAACCTGAATAATTATCTGTGCTTACCCTAAAGGTCACACTACCAACATATTATGGTGCATGTATGTTGGTTGTTTAACAGGAATCAAAGTACTCAGAAGTACAGAGAGCCGGGCTCATTTACAGAGTAGAATGGATTTCTTACATGAATCACATTTATATTCTGATGAAAAAAAATATTTTAAAACTATCAATATAAATGATAAGACACTGACAGTGAGTTTTTCAATCCTAATACCACTGTCCAATTTTGTCAGAATCAGAATTAATCTGGTACCGCAGCTGAATGTAAACAAACAGGCCAGTCTGGTTCCCTCTTCTGCTTTACCTCGTATGTGTAGAGAACTACGGTAACACTGATTATCAAAAATCCTTACACTAATGAACTAGTTCTTTGACTTATGAAGTTTTCAAAGTCATTACTACTAATGTTTATTTTATATAGATAAAACTCGTTTTATTTTTGTTGCTTTATTTAGCGTTTGTATTATCTCAAAAGCGGTTGAAAGTAAGAATTATATTTTTGCACGTAACTTTAAAATGGCGACT